AGGGAGGACAAGGAGAAACTACATAAGACTGTATGCTCGTACAGCTAAGTATAAGAATTCGACTGTACCTTTCATTGCACGCATATTTGGTGAGGAAAAGCGTGTTAGAACAGAAATCACACATTGACAGTCAAATACTACATTCATGTTCAGAAATATGATGAGTGTCGGTCGTCGGTGAGTGTGCTTGTGTTCGGGGACCTGTCGGAGTGTGAAAATACTATCAATGCACTCTCGTGCAGGTCTGAAACCTGCTTGATTTCTTAGGGTTTGCTGTTGTCGAGAATCTTGGATGCGGTTTTAGTAATACTGATTCCCGTATGGTTTTCATAAGATTTCTCTTTCTGCTAATACACTGTAGCGATCAGTGAAGTAACCCAGTCTGATGGAACTACTGATGATTTCCACTTACTAGTACCCCTGTAACTATACCGGGCTATTTCCTACCTCCGTCCTATCTGGTAAAATACCCTCAGTTCCTTCCGCTTCGCATCGTCTAAGGTTCGAAACAGTCTTTTCAACTTCGATGACAGATTTAGGGACCAAAAATCTCACCCCATTCTTGTTCAAGCTGTATGTTGGACAATCGAAGCGTTGCTGTGATCCAGTTAAACTGTGCTGCATAGTGTCCTGTTATCTGTCCTGATTTGTTATCAAGGTACCATCCTTCTCGCTGATGGTTTCACTAGCCTTTGTCTTCTTGCCGGTATCTATAATGAACCTGAATAGTTGCCGGTTACGACTCAACGCTGACACCTTCCCCATCTCTCTAATTCTCTTTCACCATCCATAACTGCTTCCTCTCATTGCGAAGACTTTTGGTCAACCTACGTTCAAGTTGCTTTCAGTTTTCATTGTGGTCAGAACCACCTGAAACCAGTCTTTTTCCATCAAGCAGTTCGAATGTCGTTGTAGAAATCCACTGACGTTTTCCGACGTTTGGATATAGGTTGTCAACTGTCTACTGCTTTTTCTGCAGCAGACTTAACATCACTCTAGATTTTCCCGGGATGAGAACCGCTACCACATCAGATAAATGCTAAGCTATCTCTTCCCTAAATACGTACTTGGTGTTCTCATCTTCCAATCGAACACGCACGTGATTATTGTCAAAGCAAGAACTCTATGAAAATCAGCAATATTCTACCGGTTCTATTCAACAATGGCCTATAGCAATATGGTCCATCTGTGTCCGTCGTTGGTTTGATGTTGGCGGACGATGTGTGAAAGACTGTCCCTCCTTATACTTGAATTTCGCGACGGCCAGAGAAAAGTGATTGCCGGAAGCGAATTACAACAGACGATCACCGTTCTCGGTTCGTTGGCATGGGATTTTGTAGATACCTCTGAAAAATCTTTCCCATTGGCTCAGCTTTCCTACTTGAGTGTTACTATTACTATATCTGAACGTTTTGCCTTTAAAGCTGGATTGAAAAAATCCATTCCACCAGCGCTGGATAACCGTGGGGCAGGGATGAGTGTTCCATTTTTTGGGTCGACTTTTTGTAACCCCTCGTTCCCACCAGACAGGCGAAATCAGCTTGGTATCGCTGGTCATCGAAGGGAAACACTTCACTGCTATCGGACTCCATTCATTCACCCTCGGACCGTCATCATAGGGTAGCAAATTATACTATAACGATAATTGCTTTTCATTTTACCACTATCCACCTGACCTTTCTGATGTAGTAGGACCTCGAGGGAACAAGTGTTCCAGCCAGTGTAGTTCGTTGGGTCATTATGACATCGAAGCCCAACCAACACGTCAACGTAGCAGCTATCAGTTTGGAAAGGAATGAGAGAAATGCCGACTGAGGAGATATATTATTTTATTCTTGGAACACAAACATGGTACAGCAAGGGCACCAAGAAATACACCATACTAACTCATGAGACACTGAACCTTCTTCTATTCAATTGCCTGTGACACTTATTACGCATGTCTAATCACTATCTATCCCAACGGAAAATTGTGAGCTAATGTAGGATGACGCTTGGGAATGGTGACAGTTACCCAGACTTAAATATGATATCACTCCATGAAGTCACTCACTCTTGGTCTGAACTGAGTATTGAAATGCAGGTTTTGCGATCGGAGAGTCTACGTGGTGACAGAAATTGGTGATTGCAGACCAGATGATATCACTCAGAATTGTTTGCGATGGCGCATGGATTATCTTCATTTGAATTACCGTACCGAATTTCACTATTGTCTCACTTTCCGTTATTTTCCTTTCATGAATATCTACCGCTTTGATTGCTCTTCTCCCTATTTTTTTTCAATTTGGTGCACTTTTGCTTGACTCGATGATATCAGATATGACAACTTGAACCGCAATAGAGAAGTGTCAAGTCACATCTTGATGCTGACTGACTGACACACATACCTGTGCATGGATTGCTATAGGTTTTTCACATGCGACAACAGTTTGTCTCGAAACTAGACAACACTGTCGATAGGGCTAAATTTGCCAACCCAATCCGATAAGGCTTTGTCATGCAACTCAGATAGCTTCTGTTAACAAACTTGTGTTACCAATTTGTTACCTCACCTTTTAGTCATTTTCATCTTAATGGTGACAGCGTGTCATGTCATTTTACACGTAACCACTGTAGAGAATAACACGAGTACTTTCGTTTCCTCCAGCAGACTGATAATTCAAAAACATCACGCATGAAGATAAGTTCGTTGTGCATTCTTTAATCAGGATTGTATTTACTGAATTTAAACTTACCATGCTTTAGCGTGTCGAGTTTCTATACTGGTTTGTGTAGGATTATGTAAACTGTTAGAATGAAGTCGACAGCGTACTGCTTAAAAGTTTCTCTGTGTTTCAGTCCACGATTACCTATCAAAAACAGTCGAATTCCAACTATTTCTACACTCCACTGTTTACAAACATCCTGAGATGCGTCTGTATGTTTATCTTATGTTCACATAGTCAAGATTTGGACGTGTTACAGCATTAATTCACTTCCAGTTATTCATGAAGTTAACTGCAAACACCTGAGTGTCTCGTCTTTGTGAGCGTATACGTGATGGATAACCATCGTCATCAGCTTTCGTTGTGTCGTTGCTTACGCAGATATGTGTGTTCATGTGCTGAGGAACTTGTTATTCATGTAATCATTCATCTTCACGTTGAGTGATTTCTCAGAATCTATGAATTGAACTGGCTCATAAGCATTTGTGTGTTGTAGCCAGGCTAGGAAGTTGATTCTCTGTGTTTATCAGACTACGGTCAACTACACTTTTCTGTGTAGCCTCTTTTCACATAAATGTGAGCATTCAATTAGTCAGACTTCGCATACCAAACCGAAATCACGTCAACTTTATATGATGCACATCGAAGATTGGTGAAAAATCACATATCAGGATGATATAAGAAATCCAACTTGTATTTATATATTAAAGAATAATTTGATCAAACAACCACCTACAGTCATGTTCACTAGGCAACAAATCTCGTCTACTATGTGAGGCTGTATGTTACCACCTGCTATAATGAACCAGTTGAACGTCGACTACTTGCATCAGTGAGGCAGAGTTCCACTATACTACTACTTTTGAGGTTCTTATCGTAGTATGCATAATGTTCGTGTAAATTTTCTTTTCCTATGTGGAAGTATGAGGTTGGTTTGACTAGTTCTACATCCATGGTCTGAGGAAGAAGCAATCTTGTGAACAGGGAATCTGGACCAAGTTTTGATTGGGATTTGACTCAATCGTTTGCGTGATGATGAGATTTATTCTGGAGCATACGAAAGAGAAATCTATGCTCCAAAATAAACATCATACCTACATACTTGATTACATCATATTCTACTGTATATAACAGCTTACATGTGTGCACAATGACACATATATTGGGAGGAGTAATCGAACTATGAAGTCGAGAACAGTGAAGCGTACCCCTAAGTGGCTAGCAAAGCAATTACATTCAGTTAGTTCGGTCAAAGTATGAATTGAATGACGAATGGATTGCAGTGAAAGCCAAGAATATGAGATGACAGGATTATATATATCAGATGTTGGAAGTGGAGTGTGATTGAATTGATATGATTATGAGGGATAATCAGTTACGCTGGATACGTCATCCAGTGAATAATACTGTATCACACTATGTGTGTTATAAATGAAATAAACAAATCCAATCTGAAATTCGGGTATTTACACTAACCGTTATCTTCAGATTGATTATTGTCTCACACGACTTCGTCTACTGTGATATCATCCCTTTTCTATCCATTTATTCTTTGTATACTAATGTGAAATCCAGATCGACCTAGGACCAGGCATTACTGCGTAAAGGTGCGAGTTGCCACACCTCATATCAGTACATCAAGTAATAAGGTAGTAAGGTGCAAGATGAAGATAAGAGAATGCAGTCAAAAGAAATATAAAGTACAAAAAGGGAGAAACGAAGAATCAGAAAGTGGTGACATTTTGTATAGTGTAGTTAAGATGAGGATAATGTGTGGGCATACATCTGCATGCGTAGGCATACGTAATACGTGTCCCAACCATCTCAATCGATGAAGGTTCACAATTGTGTCAACCGACTTTCCTCTTCTCCCTAAAACTCACATAGTGACACCACAGAATACGGCAACGGTGGTCAAACACTTTTGAAGCCTTCTCATGTCTACCACCTTCAATGGGCATGTTTCACAGTTATACAGTAGAACAGACCGAACTGCTTTACAGTATACGCGACCCTTAATGTCCATGCAAAGATTGTGAAATATGACAAGTTGAACCAACTGACTTATGTATGAGGTTCCACATTGACTTTGTTTGTTTGAATGAAGAATACAGACTTGATAGTCATACCGAGTACTTACTTGTACTGTTGTCAAACAATGTGAAGAGCATCATAATCATCTATCATAATCGCGTTTATTTTTGCTTATTATTTGTTATGAATTACATTTGTTTTTTCTTGAAAACGAATAATTAACAAAATCTTTTACGGTTTGTTCTCTGTCCTATTAACTAGAAGGTGGTATGAACGAAGAAAGTATGGATATTGTACAACAGTTTACACCGCCTCAAGACGATACATTCAAATTACTCTCTGGTCATAAAGGTTTGTTGAAGTTGTGGTAATTTCTATTGTGTATTGATTTTTCTTGTTATTCAAAGTTGAGGCAACAAATGTACTGCACAGCAGTCCGGTATGTTCTGCTGTATGACTGTGAAACATGGCTACTGAAAGTGGAAGATATAAGAAGGCTTCAGGTGTTTAACCACCGTTGCCTTCGTAGTATAGGCTGCCATATTCCGTGGTATCACCAAGTGAGTAATGCACAAGTCAGGCCCAGGTGTAGAGTTTTAGGGAGGAGAGATAAATCAGTTGACATGGTTGTGAAGCTTCATCGATTGAGATGGTTGGGACACGTACTACGCATGCATAGTCACCGATTGCCTCATCACACAATGTTGGACGAAGTAGGCCCAGGCTGGAAAAAGACCAGAGGTCACCAGATTAAAACATGGCATCAATGTATTAAGTGTTTGACTGTTGGTTTGAACCATGTAGGACGATGTAGACTAGGTGGTTGGGGTCCGCGGGACAAGAGGAACCAGTGGTTGGAGACTCTAGGTGATGGCATGGCTCAGAACCGATGTCAGTGGCGCAGATGTATACACACACATTATCCTCATCTTAACGACGCTATACCGAATCTCACTACTCTCATTCTTCCTTTCTCTCTTTTATTACTTTATGTTTCTTTCGACTGAATTTTCTTATCTTCGTGTTTCACGTCACTGCCTTTTTACTTGATGTAGTGATATGAGGTGTGACAGCTCGAGCCGTTACACAGTAATGCCTGGTCCTATGTGGATATTGATTGATGATGATGATTACTGATGAGAAACCGCTTGAGATGGTTTAGGTCTTGTAGACTGATTCTGTTGTGAGGATATGAAAATCGAAACTGTTTCGAAAATCTAGATCACAGGAGAATTTGATCCAGCGACTTTTGTAGTGTTGTGCAATCAAAAGGAATAAGGTATAGTGGTGAACAAAATGTGTGAGCAGCACATCTCGGGGAAGTGACTATGACTCTCGGGGTATCTAAAGGATCTCTACATACTGCTGTCAAGTGGTGTGGGTGTTTGCGGTGCTGGTCTGTAAAACTGGATACGATTTATGTACGGGTGATTACTACTGCAGCCTAGTTACACAACAACAGTGAGCCTCCTTTTTGCCCCACTAGATATCGACCAATTCACCGTCAGAGTTGAATTATCGGAAAACGCGATCGACAAGATCCTTATTTATAGATCAGTCATGCAGGTCTCCGAAGCACACATAACCTAACTGACTAACGACTCCACCCAGTGCTCTAAGAGGAGTGGAGCTAAAAGATAAGGGGATCTGGCTTCTTAATACAGTCTTAAGAGGGGTGATGTGGTTAGCCTTCCGAAAGTGGGTGGTATTCCGTTTGGAATGCCTTGTCGTTAACTCTAATCTTGGCCTAGAAGTAGCCCGGGAGCAGCCTTCATTTGTGAAATCTTGATGAGAGGGGATAATCTTACGAGAAGATGAGTTGAATCTCTTCTGCAAGATCGTGTAGATTTCAATCAGATTCATCCTACGCACACCCGCCCACAGTACAGTCAAGCGACCCGAGTACCCGACGAATGTGGATTAATTGAAGCTTTAAAATTACTCTGATCAGTTTTTAGGGAGCGTTAACATAGTGCTGTGACAGGAGTATTGATTGCTATAATGTTTCCTCCTCGGTGAGGGGACCGATCCCGTAGGTTCTTACATTATGACGTCCACAGAGACGACGTCTGACGTAGAAACTAGTAGCTGAGCTGAAAATCGGGGTAAAACTCAGTTTTTCTGAGCTGCAGCTGTCTTGTCTACGCTCACCTAAAGTCCGGTCTCTCTTTGCTGCCAACTTGTTAGTTTTCACCTATAGATCTTCGAGTTTGTGCGACAGTAGATATAAATCATTGGCGAAATCCAAACCTTCTGAGGTCTTTTCATCAGTCCAGCCAGGGTGTGCCCCTTTTCTCGCTCCTCATGGTTCGCTGCATGGTCTAGTCCAGTCGACCACAATCAGGAAGATGATCGGTGATAGTAGGCAACCTAGTCTTACTGCCGTTTTCACTTCAAAGGCATCACTGAGCTTTCCATTGTGAATCACTTGGCATGTAGCGTCGTCATATAGCATCTAGCTGTTAAATGATCTTAATGAAGGTTTGTGGCACTCTGTATTGTTGAAGTAGTTGCCAAATTACTTCTCGGTCAACTCTGTCGAAGGCCTTTTCAGAATCGATAAAGTTGAGGTAAAGATCCAGTTGACTGCCATTCTATGCTCTGTTCTATGATGATGATACGTAGCGTTGCAATTTGATCTGCGCATGATTTGCTTTTCCTGAAGCCAGCACTGGATGACGTGGAGGAATACCAATTCCTTCTAGGTTTCAGATACGCCTTGTTGACGAGCGCCAACAAGTGTAAAACCGAGATGATGCATAGCTTCCATGCCGTTCATCTGCAACCATATAGCATACGTTTTTATCAACATAACAAAACAGAACCTGAAATCTGACTAAAAACAGTCATATCAATTGTCTTTCATGTTTCAGTGCGTTAAAATACCCGATTTTCAAACCAGAGACATCAAAGGCACCAGTCTAGTCACTACTGAATCTAACTACTTATTTCAATAGTTGCTAGGATAACCTCTAAAGTTACTCCTTTTGAAAAATAGGTGTGGTGATCCGAACTTTCCGCTGCCTACTTCGATTTGAGCAGTCAGGTTTTGTTTTATAGTTTTGTAAGTCTCTCGCATAAAAAGTAACCTATGGTCGAGTGCCTAAGTCTCAACTAGGCTGAGTAGCATTAGTTTAAGCTTTTGACGTTTAACTAATGAATCGCCAACTGAACTCAGTCTTCAGCTATCAAGAATATGAACAGTTATGTGGTTTCATAGACCTTAACCTACAGTCCATCGTTTGCTATAGTAGTTGTTGGAATAGCCTCTTTGAAAGTGACACATAGTAAACATCTTGACGTACTGTCTTGTTTCGTATAAAGTTATGGCATATTGCCTGCTACACACGAATGTGTACAAGGTTGGTTGCTGAGTCCATTCCCATATAAAACTTTGCATAGGGTGATAACGTGTGAAGTGGGGGAATATGTTGACCACTTCACTTATTTAAAGAGTTGCATCAGCTCGGATTATTATTATTATTATTATTAGTCCCTTGGGTTCCTAGTGGAACATAGGGCTTCAGTAGCACGTCTCCAGTGACCTCTGTTCTCTGAGATCTTTTGAACCTGGTTCCACGACAGCCCAGAAGCTCTCATTTCCTCCTCGCACGACCTCCTCCATGTCACCCTCGGACGTCCAACTCGTCGCTTCCCATGAGGATTCCACTCGAGCAACTGGCCTGACGCGTGATGTCCCCAGTCAGCCTTCTCAGTGTATACCCAATCCATCTCCACTTCCTTCCAGTGCATATTTGTTGGGTGATAGATTCTTGGTTGGTTCGTTCCCAGAGTTCCTTGTTGCTTATTCTTATTATTCTGGCAATCCATCTGATCTTCAGTATCGAGCCAGCGTAGGTAGTTGTTGATGAATATCTGTAGTTTATTGGAAATGCCTTTCGTGACGCGCCAAGTCTCTGAACCATACAGAAGCACTGACTTGACGTTGGTGTTGAAAATCTTGATCTTGTTCCACAAGCTGAGTGCAGTGCAGAAGATCTCCACACCGGTTTCAGTCTAATGAACGCCTGTCTTGCTTTCCGATTCTGACTTTGACATCCTCGTCTGTGCCACCTGTAGTTGAAACAGTGCTGCCTTGCCTGGATAGGTGAAGGAGGTTACTTCCTTTAAGTTTCTCCCATTGATGGAGACTGGAGTTTGTTGTTGTTGGTGGTGCAGTATCTTCATCACGTCTGTCTTCTCTATATTCACCTGAAGTCCCGTCTTCGCTGCCTCTTCTATCAACTTGTTAGTTTTTGCCTGCAGATCTTCAAGTTTATGTGACATCAGGCACAAGTCATCATTGGCGAAATCCAAGTCTTCTAGGTTCTTTTCCGTTGTCCAGTGTATCCCCCTCTTCTCGCTGCCTACTGTTTGCTGCGTGATCCAGTCCAGTCGACCACAATAAGGAATATCATGGGGGATAGTAAGCGGCAACCTTGTTTCACTCCTGTCTTCACTTCAAAATCATCACTGAGCTTCCCATTGTGAATTACTTGGCATGTGGCATCTTCATATAGTTGTTGAATGAGGCGAATAAAGGTTTGCGGTACTCCGTAGTACAGAAGGCTTATTTGGCATTTGCCCACTTACGTCATCAATGGCGTCGGTGAGATATCCGGTTATCTATCAAACGACGAGTATTTCGTTCTGTCTTGTTGTACGGCTGTAAGATGGTGGTTAAAAGTAGAAGACATAAAGCGGTTACACGGTTTTGATCACAGGTATCTATCTACACAGCATTGTTCGCGTTTGGTGGAATCACCATGTGAGCAATGTTGAGGGCGTCAAGCGAAGGGTACTAGACAAAATAGGCAAGTCAATTGATGAGGTTAGGAACTTCAATCAACGGAGATGACTTGAACATGTACTGCGCATGCTGAGCCACTGGCTACCTCGATGTGCCATACTACGGGAAGTTGGTTGAAAGAGAGTTCAAGGTGGTCAGACCAAGACGTGCCTTCAGTCGATGAAATCCCTAACTGCTGATTTGAGTCATGTGGCAGATGTGGGTTAGGTCAGTGATTGAGGGCACTTGGTGATATGGCGTAGATGTGTTCACTCCTTAACATCTAAATCTTGAATATTCTCACTAATCTTTATCTTCAGCTTTATTTATTCTCTCACATACTACTGTGAAGTGCGGCAACTTGAAACGATTCATTTGTGTACAAGGTTCTACGTTGATTCTGCCTGTCTGTCTTTTTTAAAATGTCTGTCATACAGTTGGAGAAGAGAACTAGTGATTCCATATCTCACATTATCAACAACCACGAAGGAATTTTCTCCGATCATGAAACGTCGTAAAGGTACAAATTAAAGAGTATTAAAGGATTACTCGGCTATATGAAGACGCCATATGCCAAGTAGTCCACAATGGGAAGCTCACTGATTCCTTTCAAGTGAAAACAGGAGTAAAACAAGGCTGTCTACTATCACCCATGATCTTCCTGATTGTGGTCGACTGAACTGGATCATGCAACAAACAGTGGGGAGCGAGAAGATGGGCATACGCTGGCTGCACCGATGAGATGACCACGGAAGAAGATTTGGATTTCGCCGCCGATGACTTGTGTCTAATGTTACACAAACTTGAAGATCTACAGGCGAAAACTGACAAGTTGTCAGAAGAGGCAGCGAAGACGGGACTTCAAGTGAATGTAGAGAAGACAGAGGTGATGAAGATACCCAACCAAAAACAACAAACACCAATCACCATCAACGAGAGAAATTAAAAGGAAGTAGTCTCTTTCACCTACCACCTAGACAGCATCGTTTCAACTACAGGCGGCGGCATAGACCAGGACTGGAAAAACAGCAAGACAGGCGTTCATTAACCTGAAATCAGTGTGGAGATCTTCTGCCCTCAGCATGTGGAACAAGATGCAGATTTTCAACACCAACGTCAAGTCAGTGCTTCTGTATGGTTCAGAAACTTGGTGCGTTATGAAAGGGATTTCCAACAAACCACAGACATTCATCAACAACTGTCTACGCTGGTCTGGCTCGATACTGAAGATCAGATGGCCAGAAAGAATAAGCAAGAAGGAACTCTGGCTGCCTGGCTGGCTGTCTGGCAACGAACCAACAAAGCAAGAACCTATCACTCAACAAAAATGCAGTGGAAGAAAGTGGAGATGGATAGGGCATATACTGAGAAGGCCGACTGGGGACATCATGCACCACACCAGGTACTCGAGTGTAATCCAAATGAGAAACGACGAGTTGGGCATCTGAGGCGAGGGTGACATGGAAGAGTTCGTGTGAGAGCTTGTGGGCAGTAGTGGAGCCAGGTTCAAAGGATTGCAGATGAGAGAGTGCACTAGAGACGTGCTACTGAAGCCGTATGTTCCACTAGGAACTCAAGGGACAAATAATATTAATGATAATAATAATAATTATTATTATAAAGGATTTCATAAATGTGAAGTTCCATAAAACAATTAGAAGATGTAAATTATCCGAACCGTGTAATGTAGCTGCGCAACACATTTTGAACAATCTGATCGGTTATACACGTATTTGTCATAGGTATTTATTTATATGATAGTTAGCTGGCAAAAAGTAGCTACACCGCTAAAACCTGATCATTACTCTATCCCGAAGAATGATGTCTTCGTCAGTCTTACGTACAAAGTTGACTCTCATAGTCCAATCCTTAAGCCAAGACTTAATTCAGCTGTCAGAAGGACTTTCTACTCACTTGGAAGGTCTAACTAATGGAAACCAACAAGCTTATATACTCTCCTAAACCTATACAGTACGTGGACGATAATGTTACCTCCCATTGCATCTACCAATTCAAATGTACGTGTCGTGACTCATTAGATCCATGCGAGTGAGGACCTCAGAGCATATTGCAAAGTGGCTTCAGAAGAAAATTATATCATCTGAGCCTACATAAACGTTGGTTGCAGACGTGCAAGTTCTTCGATCGCCAAAAATCGTTGATCCATGCCACAGAATTGATGTGGCTAATTCCTTTAGACCTATTTGCTTAATGTGTTGCGGAAGAATGCTTAAGTTTGTTAAGGCTTTAGGTATTAGGAAGTTTAAACCACCTTTGGGCATGTTCAAAAAACAATTTATTATCTCCCTTGGTGATTCAATTATGAAGATCAAGTTCGCTGTAAGGTTATTTCCACTTTATTGATTTTCATTGTTATTTTACCTTTAATTCAGCCTTTTTACTTAACCTCTTCTCATTTTCTCACCCCTTATATATCTTAATCAGCTTTCATATAAATACCTATGACGAGTAAATGTGTAACTGATCAGATAGTTCGAAATGTGTTGCACAATCGTACACATGTATACACGATTCAGATAATATACGTCTGTTTTGTCGAATTTTATCAAGGGAACTGATTGTTTGAAATATGAAGTTATAACTCAATGGATAAGGTGGCAGGTTGACTTTCAGATAGCATGTCGTGAGTTCGAACCCCGCCAAATCTCTACTATTTCAGCAGCCAGGTTAATTCATAACCTCATACACAATACGTTTGGTGCATTGTTTATAAATGAATCTCGAAGTAAGACTATTCTATACAGAGATAAATACAAGAACTTGAAAATTAGTAAGCTGTTTGTTGATTCCAGATTATTATTCATCATGGAGTGACACCCGTTAGAGAAACATTAGAAACCTGTGAGCATTGCACATTTGTCTCGTCCTAGTATGAGACTCCTCAGCAGCGCGCACTTGTGACCCCGCCGGGGGTCGAACCTAGGAACTTCAGGTTCCACGGTGAATGCATTGCCTTTGAGTGACTGGGTCGGAATCCAATGGTCCATATTTCCTACTTCTGTTAGTTCACGATATAACACCACCTACATCCAGTATTGTTGTTGTCCTTATTATTGACTTGGTTCACCGCACCAGTCACGATATCTTATTGGAGCTCCGGGAACCATCTCTCGAAGCACTAGATTTATTCATTCTTGGGTTCAGCCATTGGTGAAGTCATGGGTGCGTACTGCTGAGGAGTCCCACACTTGGACGAAACAGCTGTCCAGTGCTTCCAGGTTTCTGGTGTTTCTCCATGATGAATAAACCTGAAGTCAATGAATAAATCCCCACAAAGCTCGAAATTGAAGTGATTTGTCTCACACTTCATTTCAGGTGTGAACGCTTTTAAGAAGCGTATTATCACAATTGCGTGTTTTCATATTGCATCGATTTCATATGTCAGTCGATTGTAGACAATCGACAAGAAACCTTGGACTTGTGTTTCTTGCTTGTTAGTGGCTTGTCAACAAGCCGTGTCTACAACCCCGACGGAACTGATGTCCCCCCCCCCTGAGATTTGAACGCGGGTCACCTAGTGTTTCAGTCAGCGATGCTGCTGTTTAGCTATTTTGGTCGCGACCGATTTCCCTCCTCCTGTGGGACTGGATTGGACATATTGATTAGTCGTTTGGGAGCACACATGTTATTTTGTTTCAATCTGATTTGTTGGTAATTTAGAACAGCTTTCTCAGCATTGTGGACTTGAAATCTATTCCAACCGTGATTGCTAGATATTCCGGAACGAAAATAGTACGCACGCTTAACTGACAGCTAACTTAGTACGCAAGAGCCACTGACTGCAACACCGGGACGAAATAGAGAGAAGACCGAAGCTGTATGATGGGGAGTTTATTTCTCCGAGACTATAATAATAGTGAATCCCAGAAGGGGGATTAAGTACACACATATGACCTTGTCCATAATTTGAGACATTGACGTGGTAAGAGTAAAGATTAGCCAATCAGCGAATTCCATTACAATGAGGGCAGAAATAGACTAGTAGTCATACCGTAAAAATGATTTGAGAATGCCAAGTTATAAATGATCAGATCAATAATAATGTTTTATGCAAAACTATGGTCTCGCAACAGTGAGAGAGACTTCTGGCGATAAGCATATCACTATTGTATCATTTGGTATAAGAGGTTAGTCAGTAGATGGTTCTCACCTTTCTGCGTTAACTTAATCGATACAGAAACTTGTTCACTGCCAGTTTGTTTAAAAATGCATAAGTTAAGTAATTACATTTGATGAATTTGATGCAATTTCTTGTTCTTAGTTAGACCGAATCCATCGTCTAGTGACAGTGTTTGAAACGATTGATGGTCGATTTGAATCCTGATGAGAAAGTCTATAGTACATTCGAAATCTTACTCATTCACCTCACCTCTTCGTCCACACTGCTCTGTGTGCCCCCTGTAACAACATACCTATCTACAAGCTAGACGAAAACTTATCAACAACTGGTCGTTACATTTTTTTTGTGTCGGAGGTGGGATCCGGCTTGCTCACAGTTAGATGAACGTGCACTCAACAGCAGCTATCCACTCGAATGTAACTCATACCAGTTTTACACACCATACCTAACCTCTAACTCACTCAGATACAACCAGCCACTGAGGACAGTGCCTCCAAAGAAGGAGGAGTAATGTAGCGCATTCGAAATCTTATTCATTTACCTAAGAGTTTCGCCTCATCTCTTCGTCCACACTGCTCTGCGTGCCCCCTGTAACAACGTACCTATCTACAGGCTAGACGAAAACTTATCATCGATTGGTCGTTACATGATGCTTACTAGGAGCTAGTTGTCAATGTGATAAAATGTTCTAATCACTTTTTTTCTATTTTCTTTACTGTATTGTCTCCAAATATTTTCCTATTTTAGAAAGTGTATTCTGTGTTGACTTTGACAGTACGGGGAAATTTCTTGTCTCTGGCGGACAAGATCATATTGCTATCATATGGAACGTGGTGACGGGTCAGACTGAATTCACTTGTCGAGGTTTGTTGTTTTATCTCTTATCTCATTTATTATTTGAAGTTTTTAGATCAAGACGTATATTATTATTATTATTATTATTATTATTATTATTATTATTGTTATTATTATTATTATTTCTCCTTTGGGTTCCTAGTGGAACATACGGCTTCAGAAGCACGTCTCCAATGTGCTCTGTTCTCTGAAATCTTTTCAACCTGGCTCCGCGACAGCTCACAAGCTCTCATTTCTTCCTCACATGATCTCCTCCGTGTCACCCTCGCCTCAGATGCCCAACTCGTCATTTCCCATTTGGATTACACTCGAGTGCCTGGTCTGGTGCATGATGTCCCCAGTCGGCCTTCTCAGTATATGCCCAATCCATCTCCACTTTCTTCCATTGCATATCTGTTGGGTAACAGGTTCTTGCTTTGTTGGTTCGTTGCCAGACAGCCAGCCAGAGTTCCTTCTTGCTTATTCTTGTTCTTTCTGGCCATCTGATCTTCAGTATCGAGCCAGACCAGTGTAGGTAGTTGTTGATGAATGTGTGTAGTTTATTGGAAGTGCTTTTCGTGACGCGCCAAGTCTCTGAGCCATATAGCTGCACTGACTTGACATTGATGTTGAAAATCCGGATCTTGTTGACGCTTTATGCTGAGTGTAGAAGATCTCCACACTGATTTCAGACTACAAATAGCTTAACCAATCATGTAGATTTGTCAGTTAATATGGTAAATGTTTTAAAACATAACGATGATGACAATAATACAAATAGTAATGTATTATGAATGTATATTTTGTCTTCAATAACTCTCATTATAGACAGATAGATTAATGGGATAGCTATAGGTTCTTGCCAAACTGAAGAATGAAGGTGATTAAGGAGATGACTATGTATCACCGTTATATTGATGACACATTCATTATCCTGGATCAGAATGTGGATACAAACTAGGTGTTAAGAAAATGTAGTGAAGTTCACCCTTCACTCATTCCCATTTGTGAGGAAGAAAATGTCAGTAAACTACACTTCTTGGATGCCTTGGTAAACAGAAGAGAAGATGGTTCACTCAGCAGATGTGTTTACACAAAGACCACATCTATAAGTCGGTATACACAACATTTTCAAAGTCATGTACCGATTCTGTACAAAGCAAACCTGGTTATGACTGTCATACGAACAGAGCAAGAAGAATATGTTCGGATGATTTAGTACAGACAGTAGGAGTTAGATTATACCCGTAATTCATTGGATGAAATGAGCTATCCTAATGGTTTCATACAAAAAAGACACATGGAAAAAGCCAGAGGTAACAAACCTGAAATTATTACCATACAAAAGAAACTTTTGTTTATGAAATTGTAATTTAATTGAGATGTGGTCGTAGAACTTTTATATCAGAGACTCTAAAGGCATTAAGAGAATCTTCTACGCTCCATAACTCTGTCTATCATTTCCCAGTCGACCAACTATTGCTGCTCAGACAAAAGATAAGTTATCCAGTTTTGCCATTTCTATGTGTATTTACATGTTTGGTTGCTTCTGTGGAGAAAGCTCTAGCGAATATGTTGCTGAGCGTCTACCTTCATGGTTGTGAAAGGGACAGATAGAGTCCATCAGAAGTTCTATTTTTACCTCACCTCGTTGATAGTGATCACTTGGTAGATAAGAACAATACTTTCACGATTATTCACCGCATACTATTTCATCTTTCGAAAGGTATTCAAACATCCTTCATCTCTCTCTTAGCCAGGGAATACTTAGTTAATAACTTTACCATTAAGTTTTTTCCCCACTTCTTTTCTTATTCCTCATCCCTTTCGTATACGTAGTGTATTTGTCTAGGCTTTGTTGATCTGCTTACCTCGTCCTTCATTATTATGTAACTTTTATTTTCCCAAGGCAGCTTTTGACCTACTTTGATTATCGGAGTGTCTACATTTTCATGCTACTTTCTTGATTCTCATCATCATTATCATCATCTATATTGGAAGTTCTTTAGTTAACGTTGACAGAGGTGATGAAGATACCCAACCAACAACAACAGCAACAACAAGCTCCAATCACTATCAAGGGGAGAAACTAGAAGGGAGTGGCGTCTTTCACCCACCCTCCTAGGCAGCATCGTTTCAACTACAGGCGGCACGGATGAGGACGTCAAAGCCAGCCAGCATCGGAAAAGCAATACAGGCATTCATTAGCCTGAAACCAATGTGGAGATCTTTTACACTCAGCATAAAGCGTCAACAAGATCCAGATTTCCAACACCAACGTCAAGGCAGTGCTTCTGTATGGCTCATAGACTTGGCGTGTCACGAAAAGCACTTCCAATAAACTACACACATTCATCAACAACTACCTACACTGGTCTGGCTCGATACTGAAGATCAGATGGCCAGAAAGAACAAGAATAAGCAAGAAGGAACTCTGGCTATCTGGCTGGCAACGAACCAACAAAGCAAGAACCTATCACTCAACAAAAATGCAGTGGAAGAAAGTGGAGATGGATTGGGCATATACTGAGAAGGCCGACTGGGGACATCATGCACCAGACCAGGCACTCGAGTGTAATCCAAATGGGAAATGACGAGTTGGGCATCTGAGGCGAGGGTGACACGGAGGAGATCATGTGAGGAAAAAATGAGAGCTTGTGAGCTGTCGCGGAGCCAGGTTGAAAAGATTTCAGAGAACAGAGCACATTGGAGACGTACTTCTGAAGCCGTATGTTCCACTAGGAACCCAAAGGAGAAATAATAATGATAATAATAATAATAAGTTAGTCAACGTTATCACTCTTATCAATTTCATTGTTATTATTTGTATTATTATCTCCACCGTTATATTAAACATTTATCACACTAACCGAAAAATCTACATGATTGGTTAAACCTGAAGAGGATCTAATTGAAAACAATATTCTTCGGTTATATACGTCTTGTTCTAACTTACATGATGGGAACTTGAAATTTCGTTGCTTATTTTTCCCCTTTAATATGTATCTATCGCTTGACTTTTAACCATTTGCTCACGGTTTCGAATGACAACCCCATTTGTTGTGGTTTGGATAGCCAGGTAGTGTCACCAGCCGTTATACAACAGGTGTAGTTCACTGCCTACTGCAAAAACGTGCATGGGGTCTATGGGAGAATGATACGAGAACGTTAATAACGCAATGAGAAACTTGAAGTGTATATGTATCACTGACTGTTTATCCCTCAAACGTGATACTTCACTGAGCCGTGACAATCAGAAGACAGAGATCGACTGTAAGAATGACAACTTTATTTGACAAAAATCACATCATTTATATGAAGTTTTTCCTCAGAAAATAAGGCCACAAGGTTAAAAGTTTGATACTTATTCTGATTAGTCAGCTTGTAGGACGAAATTGTCCAATTAGGTTTTTTTTCCCGCCCACGCAATAACATGAAACCAAGGTTGAAATTCTAAAACTTCTACCTTAGTGGCTGGTGACCTTAAATGCTGATTTCGATTTTCGCCACTTCATTTCAGTGCTGAAGCTAATTTCCCAGCGAAATCCCACTGAAATAAGAGTATAAGCTTAATAAAACTTCGTATTTCCACCAAGTTAAATTGAATAAGATCAACAAGTGATCGATCATTGATAAAAGTGGAAGATGTCGATGGCTTTTATATAGAGAATAACAGGTGAATGATGGATTTTCATAGAATAATACCTGGCTAACTAATATGTATGCCTTGCCTTGTTTTCTGATCGATTTCTCATGATCCAGTTCTACGTGTGAAATAATCATCTGAATGCGTCTTAATGGCTAAACTCTCTGATTTCGGAACTGGTCTATATCAGCTGGAATCAGTCAGCTTGCTAATTCGTACTTATAACTATATAGTGTAGTTCATAGTAAGATTCATTATCGATTAACTCCCTATAATCAATCTGTTAGCTTAGTACCTAAGTGGACGATTTCTGTGCCTAGTGAATTATTAGTTTTGAGGTTAGTGTTCATCATGCGCTGATATAAGTTGGAGAACCACTGAAGACTGTGGACCACTGGACAGCCGTTGCGCTGTAGTACGGGGCTCCTAAACGGTACACACACATACTCGTCAAAGATCGAACCTCAGGACCTTGGCGAACTCGTTACCATCAAGCTACTTCATCAGAATCCAATAGTCCATATTTAATTACTTCTGTCACTCCTGTATCTAGTGCGACTCTCATCCAATCTCTTCGTTGAAAATCTGTCTCCACGTCCAACTTAATGTCCCCCACTGGTCAGGTTGATTATTCATCATGCAATGATATCACTTGGAGAATCATTAAAAAGCTGGAAGCACTTGGCAGCTATTTCCTCCTAATGTGGGACTCTTCAGCAATACGCACTCATAACCCGGCTAGGGATCGAAATCTCCAATTGTCCAACGCTCAATGACATTAAATTAAGCGTCGGTACTTAACTAAAAGCTTTGTTGTAGGCGAGGGTAAACGAATATGGCATTTCACAGCATGAATAGTAGTAGGTCATCTCATCTGTCAGGGTGCCTTGGACTCATATTCTAACATGGTATTCTCAATTTTCGATAGGGTCGGAATCACAATATATACATACTAAGACAATTAAAGTTCTTCGTCCTAATCAGTTGTCTTCTCTCATTCATGCTTATGCAGTCAACTGAAGTTATCGGCATCTGAAGACTGAGTTAAAAGCCATATTTGGAATGATCTAGACTAGTTCGGCTGTATGGGGTAAGTGCTTCTGGGTACTCCGCTAACCAACTCGACCTCAAATAAACAGAACAACTCTCCGGGAGATTAGATCACTCTGATCTGACTGCATGACGAAATCTAAATGGTTTTTAACTGCTCAAATAGTAGTACGTGCAGTTAGTAGACTATGAAATAGTTAACTTCAGTATTTTCGACAGTAATCTATGTTTCTATGACAAGCTTTGTATACAGTTAAGTGACTGCATCTGCCTTGTGCTTGATGGACTGAAGAAGTAATAAGGTTATTGATGCTTTGATTACGCTTTTTTAATTATGAACTACTCGTCTTGGAGTTTCTCACTGATCGATATTTAACTAGATCAGATTGTTCTAAACTTCATGCCTTACGGTGGTCAGTCCATGTTGATAGACTAAGATAGACAGAGAATGACTAATCTGGAAATGGACCAATCAAAATGTACTTTGTGTTAATCACTTCTGTAGTTAGATAGACAGACAGACACATAGTGGATCAGCCAATCAGTTGTGTTATTTTAAACAGCCAACCATCTATATATATATATATATATATATATATATATATATATATATATTAGTCCCTTGGGTTCCTAGTGGAACATAGGGCTTCAGTAGCACGTCTCCAGTGACCTCTGTTCTCTGAGATCTTTTGAACCTGGTCCCACGACAGCCCAGAAGCTCTCATTTCCTCCTCACACGACCTCCTCCATGTCACCCTTGGACGTCCAACTCGTCGCTTCCTATGGGGATTCCACTCGAGTGACTGGCCTGGCATGTGATGTCCTCAGTCGGCCTTCTCAGTGCATGGCCAATCCATCTCCACTTCTTCCTGCATATTTGTTGGGTGATAGGTTCTTGGTTGGTTCGTTCCCAGAGTTCCTTGTTGCTTATTCTTATTATTCTGGCAATCCATCTGATCTTCAGTATCGAGCCAGCGTAAGCAGTTGTTGATGAATGTCTGTAGTTTATTGGAAATGCCTTTCGTGACGGGCCAAGTCTCTGAACCATACAGAAGCACTGACTTGACGTTGGTGTTGAAAATCTTGATCTTGTTCCACATGCTGAGTGCAATGCAGAAGATCTCCACACTGGTTTCCGGCTAATGAACGCCTGTCTTGCTTTTCCGATTCTGACTTTGACGTCCTCGTCCGTCCCGCCTGTAGTTGAAACAGTGCTTCCTAGATAAGTGAAGGAGGTTACTTCCTTCAAGTTTATATATATATATATATATATATATATATATATATATATATATATATATATATATATATATATAATTAGAAATATTTTCCATGGTTTTAGTTTGCTGTCTTTCGACCGCAATAAACGTTGCTGTATATGCATAGTGTATTCTTCATTAATAAGTTGGGTTGAGAATCAACTAGGAGTTTGTTGGATTGTTGGCGGCTGACATTCGATATCCCTACATCGTTAGCAGTTTCCAAAATCATAATAAGGTTATTTACAACATGAATGACTGTTTATCCATTCCATCCATACTTATGATAAAGTCATTGTGAGAATTTCCCAATGGTTCGCTCAAATATTCACTAGCGAATAGTGATAGTCATTTTGGATTTAAGGAACTCGGATGAAGATCAAAGTGGTCCCTGTACCTAAGTCATCTTCTGGATTAGATGATACGTTTTGACTCATCGCTGTAACTTCCGCTTTTTTGAAAGGAATGAAGAAATTAATTCTCCTTGTGATTGAACCTTTTTCATTGATGGTACTCAGAGATCCGAAACAATTTACTTAGAAACTCAAGTCTGAACAAGGGTGTTAGGTATGCTCGCTGTGCCTTCTTGGATTACTCACCAACTTTTGCCTCTGTTCCTAGACCTGTCTTGTTAAATAAGCTTGCCATAGCCCATACTGAGCCATAGGTTACAACTTGGTTGTTTTCTTATCTTTTTGATAAGAAACAGTATACTGTCTACAAGGGGAAGCACTCCACTTCATTGATTACTGTAGCTGTTTTCAGTCTTTTCAACCTGGCTCCACCACTACCCAGAAGCTTTCATTTCTTCCTCACACGATCTCCTCCATGTCATCCTCGGACACCCAACTAGTCTTTTCCCGTATGGGTTCCATCGAAGGTCTTGGCTGGTACATGATGTCCCCGAATGGTCTTCTCAGTGCATGCCCAACCCATCTCCACTTTCTTCTGCATATTTGTTGGATGATAGGTTCTTAGTTGGTTGGTTCCTTGCCAAATCAGAGTTTCTTGTTGTTTATTCTTAGTATTCTGGTCATCTGATCTTCAGTATCAATGGTCTTCCTCAAATCGAAAATGGCTAATTCATTACGACGATTAAGAGGAATACATTTGTGTTATTGAGACCGATACTGGGTCATATCAACTAGAGTCTTTCAACCACTCGTTACAGTCTACATTTCCTTAGACCAGTAGTCGAAGGTTTAATGCATTAATGCCGCCCCAACCTTTTACCAGCCTAAACCTACTTTAGCTAACATGCGCGATGAGGTTGACAGTGACTAGGTTTGCGTAACACATACTCCAACCTATTCATTCGATGAAAGTTCACAATCGCATCAAATGACTCTCCCCTCCAGATATCATGCAGATGGAGGGATGCCGTTATTTGATGAAAACCAATCAAGTCTTCTGTATGCATAGAGAAATTGTGTCAGTCACTGACCCACCAAGGCTGATTGGATTTGCCAAGTAAGTGAGAAGTCTTCAATGGGATTAATCATTTCACTGCCTACTGTTGAAGTGGGCATCGATGAAGACCAGTCGTAGAGTAACTCTTCATCGTGATGAGAAACGCATCTGAAGCATTCTCAAATTACCACCTAATATATCTAAAAAACTTTTGTCACCAGATCAATCCCTATGAAGTCAGATGGTGAGTGTTAGACCTCCATAAGGACGTCTATGATTCATTTGAATAAGAATGACGAGAGTGGACTTACTTGACATACAAAACTCACCATAGACTTTAATATACCCACAATTGTTCTAGTAAAGAGCCTTCAACAGATTGATAGACACTGTCATAAGATCTGTCTATCCACGGCGTCGAATTGCGCCTTCAGGTTGAGAAATTCAGTTACAGACAGGTATCGATGTACAAGAATCTCAGCAAGCTTATGGTGTCATTCACCCTCACACAAATATGGTTGGTTGGTAGTAGTAGTCGGCAATGTGCCAAACCTTTTTCTTTTAAGGGTTTGTTAAGTGGGTTATGGGCTCGAGTCCGTGATTTGTTAGTTGAAAATTGCATTTTTAACCTAGTGAGTTCCAGTTTACGACATTGTACACTACTGATATGTACATTTGGCGAAGTGGCTTTAAAGGCCACCCTAGCCCTAAATGAAATAACCAATCAGATTTCTTCCAACAGGAATGAAGAAACTTGATTGGTTATTTCGATTGTTGCTAGGATATGACAAATGAAACTGTTTTCTCTTGTTGATATGATTATATTGTTTCAAATGAGTTTATTTTCTCCGATTCTTCCTTTTTGAATTAGGTCATGAAGATTCTGTTCATTGTGTCAGTTTTAGTCCAGATGGTTCTTATCTATGCACTGGTGATATGGCTGGAAGTATTCGTGTTTGGTTAAGACCAATGGAGACAGAAAATCCAATAGAATGGAGATTACTAACGACATTAAATGTTGGTGATTTATTATGGATTCAATGGTGGTCACCTCCGCTGAAGGGAACAAAAATAACCAGTGGATTACCGAATCCTGCGGTACTTTTAGCCGGTGATGATGATGGTCTTGTGACTGTTTGGCCTGTAAGACCAACTCTGGCTAACAACACAGCTAATCATGCTAAATGTTTATCAGGTACGTAGGCGTCTTTTGTGTATTATTTATCTTTAAATAGCTATGAGATGAGCATAGTTTTCTTAGCTTAATGCCGATCTGGAAAAATGCAGTTTGAAGTTATGATGTAATCGTTCAACTTTAGACTACGAAACATACCCATTGAGTCACAGACAAGAGATAGATAATTCAACGAAGAAACATTCTGGCTTTTCAACGATATCATTTTCTAAAGCTGTACAATCTTATTCATGTCAGAATGTTTCTTCGCTGAATTATCTCTTCTCTATGATGGAATATTCTATGCTGGTTTTGTTTATTTGATATAACCAGCACACAGTGGGTGGATACAGTTTTATTCACTGGATGACGTTTTGAGCACAAATTCGTATTGCTGGCTGGCTGGCTCGCTGGCAACGAACCAACGAAGAACCTATCATCCAACAAATATGCAGTGGAAGAAAATAGAGATGGATTGGATTGGGCATACACTGAGAATACGATTCAGGGACATCATGCGCCAGACCAGGCACTCAAGTGGAATCTAGATGCGAAACGGCGACCAAGGCAGGGTGACATGGAGTAGATGGTGTGAGAAAGAAATGAGAGGTTGTGGACAGTGGTGGAGCCAGGTTGAAAAGATTGTAGAGAAGAGAGTGGAATGGAGAGGTGCTACTGAAGCCCTATGTTCTATCAGGGACCCAAGGGTCAAATAAATAATGATTATCTAGTTAATTCGTTAGAAAGTTAATGGAATCCATCTTTAGACTGAACCACTTATTCTATCATTACTTAGAAAAGGACAGTTTAACAGTCGAGTAAACTCATCTCACATCAGATCTGTTTATTTCATATAGCCAGCACATTTTGATGGGGGGTTATGAGCATAAATTATTATTACTCATAATCATATCAATGTGTAATTATACTCCACTTTCAATAATCGATTTTTATACTCCTATCATCTCTGATTATTTTGTGGGTAGTACTACTACTACTAGTAAAATAGTCCTTATCTCCAGTATACCTGTCCCATCATTCCAGTGACATGTGTTAGATGTTGTGGTTGATTCAATGAGGAAAGATTCAGTAATCAATCTCCCTCTCTCTCTCCCTCTCTCTCTCTCTCTCAATCCCCACCTAATTATATTGCACTAGAGTGGTACAGTCGTCTTATCCCACTCACCCCATATTGTGTGCTTCCGCGTTAATGTACCCATTGCAATCGCCGAGTAATTTCCTTGATTACTGATCCTACTAGTGTCTGTCATTCTATGTTTAGCTAAATATTGATGATCCATTAGTCTAACTTACCGTGATCGGCTAGTTTGACGTGTGTACTTGATCTCATAGTCATGACATGGGATTTAGTAGAATAGATTATTTTGCTTAATTGCTTCTATCGGATCCCTAAACCAATCGACAAAGCTTATCTTCAAGTCAGTCTAAATGGTTTAACTTGATGCCCTCGAAGTTCATAAACCACGTTATCCCATCAGAATCATAGTTGACTTCAGAAATACCCCAACATATGAACTAGCAAGGTATTTAGCATCGATATTATGTCCTATTAAGAACCGTTCAAATTCCAGACTAGTGAAATCTCACGAGTTAAAACTAAGACTTAATGTGACCTACACATAGAAGAGATCGAAAACATGGCTAGTTTCGATGTAACTAGTCTTTATACCGTAATACCTGTCAATATGGCACTGGAGGTAGTCAGAAGTCAACTAAATATTCACTGAGAACTTACTTACAGAATTAATATATCGGTTGATGAGATCATATTAGGTGTACAGTTGTGCTTGACCTCCATATAGTCATCACAAAATATTTCAACAAACAGAAGGAGTAGCAATGAGGATCGCCGATATCCCCGACTGCAGCAGATATATTTATGGACAGTTGGGAAAACGTGGCTTTATAAACGGTTAATCCTGCACAGAAGATATGATGGCGATATATGGATGACACATTTACTGTGTTGAAATGGGAGTATGTCGACAATTTCCTCACACATATAAACTGAGTAGTAGACGCAATCCAATTGACTTAGAAGGTAGAACGAAGATGAACAAGGAGAATTATCGATGTTGGATTGCAGAAGAAAACGAAGGACAGATTGTAGTTTGGATACTACCGTAAACAGAAAACTGACACACTCGAACTGGTACCTAAACTTCAAGTCATCTTATCCAATGTCAGTGAATTAAGGTGGGTTTAGTCAAATATCTCAATGGTAGAGCTTGAAAACTGACTAGTCAGTGCAAAGACCTAAACAAGGAATTGGAGCACGTGAAGGAAGCTCTAAAGTTTATGATTATTATCTGGATTTTTTTAAGGAATTCGTGTGAACATGCAGTTAACGAAAAGATAACAGTAACTCGAGTAGGAATAATGAGGACAAGGTGAGTAGAAAGGAGTTCCCAGCGTCTATTGTGTTACGCTATAAGGAAGGTATATCAGAAATTTCACGTAGAATTCTTGACACTACTGCAAGTAGTTTGGCATGTTAAACCGACAAACTCGCTCAGACAGAAAGTTTGTAGGCAAGATGATCCAATTAGGTCAATTAGAAAAAATAATCTAATCTATCATGTAATCATTGTGAGATCATGTACATAGATGGAAGCAATCGATGGCGGACATTCAGGACACTGGAACACAACTATTTAACTAAACTCTAGTCAGATGAGAAGTTTAGAGAAGAACATGGGTGTCACTCAGCAACTATCATTATTATAAGTCCCTTGGGTTCCTAATGGAACATAGGGCTTCAGTAACACGTCTCCAGTGAACTCTGTTCTGTGAAATCTTTTGAACCTGGCTCCACGACAGCCCAGAAGCTCTCATTTCCTCCTCGCACGATCTCCTCCATGTCACCCTTGCCTCTGAGGTCCAACTCGTCGCTTCCCATGGGGATTCCACTCGAGTGACTGGCCTGGCATGTGATGTCCCCAGTCGGCCTTCTCAGTGTATGCCCAATCCATCTCCACTTCCTTCCAGTGCATATTTGTTGGGTGATAGGTTCTTGGTTGGTTCGTTCCCAGAGCTCCTTGTTGCTTATTCTTTCTGGCCATCTGATCTTCAGTATCGAGCCAGCGTAAGCAGTTGTTGATGAATATCTGTAGTTTATTGGAAATCCCTTTCGTGACGGGCCAACTCTCTGAACCATACAGAAGCACTGACTTGACGTTGGTGTTGAAAATCCATATCTTGTTCCACAAGCTGAGTGCAGTGCAGTAGATCTCCACACTGGTTTCAGTCTAATGAACGCCTGTCTTGCTTTTCCAATTCTTACTTTGACATGTTCGTCTGTGCCTGTGGCGTCTGTAGTTGAAACAGTGCTTCCTAGACAGGTGAAGGAGGTTACTTCCTTTAAGTTTCTCCCGTTGACGGTGATTGGAGTTTGTTGTTGTTGTTGGAGTTGTTAGTGCGGTATCTTCATCACTTCTGTCTTCTCTATATTCACTTCAAGTCCCGTCTTCGCTGCCTTTTCTGCCAACTTGTTAGTTTTTGCCTGCAGATCTTCAAGTTTGTGTGACATTAGACACAAGTCATCGGCGGCGAAATCCAGATCTTCTAGGTTCTTTTCCGCAGTCCAACGTTTGCTGCATGATCCAGTCTATCACAATCAGAAATATCATGGGGGATAGTAAGCGGCAACCTTGTTTCACTCCTGCCTTCACTTCAAAGGCATCACTGAGCTACCCATTGTGAATTACTTGGCTGGCATGTGGCATCTTCATATAGTTGTTGAATGAGACTGATAAATGTTTGCGGTATTCCGTAGTATTGAAGCAGTTTCCAAATTACTTCTCGGTCGACACTGTCAAAAGCCTTCTCAAAGTCGATAAAGTTGAGGTGTAGACTTGACTGCTATTCTATACTGTGTTCTATGATGATGCGAAGCGTTGCAATTCGGTCTGCACATGATTTGTACTTCCTGAAGCCTGCCTGTTCTGGTCATGGTCATGGTCACTCAGTATCTACTGATCTATAATCACACTATATGGTGCGTTGGATAGGGTAACAATTCTAAAATCCAATGTAGCTAGCTGGGTGGATGGAAAGGTTGATCACCGAATCTTTGTTCATTTAACTCATCACATATTTTGCAGATATATATGGGAAGTTTTACTAATATAACGATCAGTTGTTGATAAGTTTTCTTCTAACCTATAGATAGGTACGTTATTGTAGGAGGGGCGCGCATAGCAATGTGAGTTTGGTGGCAGCTACGAGAATCTGAAAAAGAAGAAAAGGAAATGAAGAAAGGTGAGCCGATGACTTAGCAAGTACACAGGATGTACTTACATTTAATGATGAAAGATAACTGACAAACAGTAGAACTGAACAACGAAGAAGTTAGACGAAACTCTAAGGTGAATGAATAAGATTTCGAATGTGCGCTATACTACTAATAAAATGAAAGAATGGGTAACCGTTAAATTACATAAAGGAAATGTGAAAGTGGTATGATCACTCTGATTATGAATGGGAGAAGTAAGTTGTGCTCGAAATGTCATCCAGTAAATGATACTGTATCACTATACTCTATTTTAATCTGTTTACTAGAAATGTCATATACAATGAAGGTATAGTGTCTGTTGACGGGATACCGACGTTTCGGACATAATTCAGTGTCCATATTCATATCACATCAGGTAACTCCACAACTTTCACACAGAGTTGATATAGTCCTAATCTTCTGTCCTTCTCTGTGATGATAAGGGTAGTAGAATTTTCCATATATCTGGAACAAGTGTGGAATCATTTCTGTTACTGCATGTATTCGGTGTGTATTGATTCGATAAACAGTGACTCGGTTAGGGTTAGGCTTAGAGTTGTCAATCTCTCTCTCCCTCCACCCCCACCAAGCTAAGTTTGTTTTTAACGCTATCGCTCTATTCCCCACCCTACTGTGTAGTTGTATGTCATCGCATGCAAAGCGGTATCCGGGCTTTCTTCTTGATTTCTTATCTTATTAGGACCTACTAATATTTATTTAACTAAGT